TCAAGCAGACTTACAGCAATGCATCAAGCACTTCCCAAACTACTACTTAAAACTTCTTATGAATAATACCTTGAGACAGGAGAAAACTGAAGAATTATATGTTGTGAGCATATAACTTCGGACATTCTTCTTATATTCTTCTAAGCATGTAAAATTGAAGTAATGTACCGCACCCACTCCGCCCCTCTTGGACCCGCGGTCGGATTTTAATGTCAGGTGTCAATTTCTGCACTTGAGCTCACTTGGACTGACAGGCCTTTAGTCAAGTGCACCTACTGGAAGGCAGTAGATGGGCGTCACCTGACTGGCTACTTGCCACGCGCTCCGTGCGCCAGCACCTGCCAAGTTAATGCAGACGAATGGCACGTTACGCAAAGAACACACTCCCAAATGGGTGTAATGCACCAGGCCCTAGCTCTTCCAGCTATCCTGCCTACATCTTCATCTTGTTACGCAGACACAAGGGAGAGCTGGAAGGCCAGCTCTGTGTACGTCCTTCCTGTTACACTGCTGCACAAGCAATTTTCCAATTTGTACCAAGCAATGCCTCTTGGAAGCAGAGTCCGCCACAGGCATTTCCAAGCAAGCACTTAACCTCTTCCAAGCAGGGTTTGACTGTGATTACCCTGGATTTTGGGGTCTCCCTCAGAAAATTTTGCCAACCGTGGAGACCGCCCCCCAACCCCCCCCCCCCCTTCCCCCCGCCCCCTCCCTCAATCAATTTTTCCAGCCCACACACCGATCAGCTCACCAGGAAAATGCCCGGTGTGCCAGACAGCCAGTGCAGCCCTGCTTCTATGCATAGGTAGACAGAGTAGGAATCATGGGGGCAGAGGATGTCCTTCAGGGGGGGCGATACCAAGGGGTCGTGGAGCAAAAGTGTAAAAGGGTTTCCATGTTTGCCTTCACAGTTTGAGCAAAACAAAATTGAAGTACAGCTGTTAATGCTACATTTCTGATGCATTTTTTTTTCTAAACGTATGAGTAATAGGGGTTCTCACCAAAATTACAGGGCTCTCGTGCTGTGGGGTTCTCTAAGATCTTTTTTTCTGTTCTTGGTCTACTTTCTACAAAAGCTAGCCAGAAACACATTACTATTTAAAGACGCTGGGTCGGTACTTCCATAATCACTTGATAGCTGTCAGTTACACTTCAGCTAGGGGCGATGAGTGCAGGTTTCATTCGTTAGGTTTGTATGAAAGAATTTTAAAATATGGTCAAGGCATAGTCTACTACTTAAATATTGATTATCCTTGAAATCACCATTTTGGTCATTCTCAGTATATGTGTACTTACTGATATGACATTACATTGATGTATTTGTTCAATGACATAATTCATTGACATGAATTGATTCTTGTTCAAACATATTTGTCTTTTCAGATATTTTTAGATGCATGGTTGGTTAGCTTAATTATGTTTTAAAATCTATTTTTTATTACTTTATAGTATCCTTGATGGGTTTTGGTTTTGCTTAAAAAAACATTTTTCTTTGAAGGTTTGTTTTGGGACATTTATAGAGTGATAGCACTCATGAGACCTTGATCAGAAGCCCCCTGCAAAATGTCACAACAAACTGTGACGGGGCCCTAATCTCTAGCCCCTGTCAATTGATCCCAACTGGCAGAATTAATACTTAGTTGTCACTGCCAATGCTTGCTTCCCCTAACATTGTTAGTGTTGTCAATAGATTAAACACTGCTTAAAAAAACAGAAACAGTTTTCTGTTTCACAAACAAAAGCCTGTGAGCTCTTATGAAACTGTTTTTTTACACATTTGTTTGCATGTCAAACTAAAACTCGTACTTTTGACCAGTTTCACACTCCGGTCCTCGGGGACCCACCGCCGGTCCATGTTTTTGCTCCCTCCCAGCTCCTGGGTAGGGAGCTGAGAGGGAGCAAAAACGTGGACAGTCTGTATGTCCCCAAGGACATGGATTGGGAAACACTGGTTTAGGCAGTTTCAAACTTGTTCCATACTAGGGATCCTACAAACCAGAGACCATCTGATATTGCTTTCCCATTGCATTGCTTATAACTCCTTTGACCTCCGGTGTCATCATAAAGTCAACAGTAGTCTTACAAAACAATGTTTGCACTGAAGAATTTATTAATTTTTCATTTCAGCAAGGCAGTTAGTAAATATTGTGCAAGTGACATAGAAGATTATTATGTATGCAAATCAAATAACTTCTCTGACTCCAAATTTAAGTGTCCACACTGAATAGCCTGTAACATTTTATGCCTTCTGTAGCTGGCGACATAATGACAGAATGACTATATACGTAAAGTAAAAATGCAATACTTTTCAGCTGAGGCAAACCCAGGGATCCAGTGATTTTTAATTTGTCTAATTTGTTTTATTCACTTAGCAGCTATTTGTGCATTTTCTTTGCTGATTTCAGTGGAAAACATAAAGTCCAACCTCTTTCGGCCTTGTTACTGCTTTGTGTAATTGTGGGAAAGCAGTCATGATTTTAGCAGCAAGCTTCACAGTCTTTGCACGCATTCATTATGGCATTTTCCGCCTACTGTTCCTGCTCACTTCAAATAATACAAATTTACACTCAAATGTACATGTTATTACTCATTAATGTGCTTTGTCCCTAATTCATGCCAGATCTGCACAACAAAAAAAAGTACTCTATTGCATTTTTTTCCACTCATAAAACAGGATTGGCTCTGGATTTCTGATTAAATGTTTTCACCATCTCTTTCTGTCAACTTCAATGAAATGCTTTCACGGTGAATAGAGAAAACATAAATTATTCTGCAAATTGTTGCTAAATTATGAAAAGATTGCATCAAACGGGGGCACTCAGTGGCATTTGCATTTACTTTATGCCTGATTGATGAGAATAACCAGGATGCCTGACACATCTCTGACAGATGCTGACTATCTTCTTGCAAACCATTTTTTTGCTTCGTTATTCACCTTTATCAGATCTTAACCTTGGCACTGCTGCCCCGCTGCGCCTCACAATTTAAATTGTGAGCAATTTAACAGCAGTTTCCCAGTCTTAGCTGCCGCTACCATCAGTACAGTCTTCTGTTTTCATTTCCATTTTGTCAGGATGTGTGATTGGTCATTTTGAGTTTTTTCCCACAGCCACACATTTGCTCTTTAAAAACCTCGACTTAGTAATGTTAAATATATTCATGCTTTGAGTTTAGCACAGTGGTGCAGTAGCTTTCCAGGGTTGTGGATTTGAATCCCACTGTGTGTGCAATTTGCAGCTCCTCCCACAGTCCAAAGACATGGTGCCTGGCTGAACGGTGGCTCTAATTTGCTTGTTGTGTCATCACTGATGTACGACAAGGTACATTCCATTCATAGGAATATTCTGATTGTATTTTAAACAACTACAGTGCATAAGTATTCTTTCATAGTGGCAAGCAGCCAACATACTGTAATTGTATTCGTTATGGAGGAACAATCTCCAGTTTGTGATGTGAGAGAAGCCGATGCTGCTCTCTTTGTTGAATGCAGGTCTGAGGTGACCATCAGGTCAATAGACAACATTTTATTGACAAGGGACTGAATGGCTTGCCAATGACCGCGTTGCTAAGTCCTGGTGCTTATTGACAGGTGATATTAATGGGAGAAACACTGGCAAGGCATAGAAGGCGCCTGTGGGGGAATGATCAATCACGCCTGCATCCAACCCCCCACTGCATGCCTTGTGAATTATCATCTCCCGTGCTGGAAATTCCCTGAGCTCAAACTCCCTGAGTGTATGACTGCTGACAGACTTTCAATAATGAAGTTAATAAACTGGACTGTTGGAATGAGTAGAGTTCACCATGAATCCCAAAGTACCAGTAAATCCCTGATATTTCCTTTAAAATCCTACACGCAAAAAGTAATATTTTATTTACATTACATCAATGTTTTCCGCATTTAATACATAACGACAAACAGGGTGGTCCTTTCACAAGAGCGTTTTGTATCGGAATACAAAACTAACCAAAATCTACAAGGCTAAATGTTGTACAAAGCGTTGAAGACACTGTTTTGAGCCATTCTAAATTGCTTAATTGCAATTATATTTCACCTTATACAAAACTCAGAAACATCTGAAATCTAAGAGCAACATGTTCACACAAGCACATTCTGCGCGCACCTGTAAGGCTCCTGATTCTCGTTGAAACAAATAACCACAAATTCGCTGCCAGCGCCCTCTAATGGAAACTAAAGAGCACTTAATCCACGCAGTACTAGGGCTATAGCCATTAGTACATTGGATTTTATTACGGTGCTTTTCAGCTTGATTCAAAAGCAATACGCAAAACCCCCCAAAAAAGTAAACGTAGATATGCAGTTATCACATATTCATAACTGTGGCAGTGAATTACAAATGAAATAGAGAATAATAATAATAGCGATTTAAAACTAAAGTGGATAAACTGGATGTTTTAAGGTATGCAACTATTACCAACTAATATGGTACCACTGGTACTAGCACTAGTACTACTAACGAAGTATTTTACCACATTTACATGATATCGTCATCGTACCATTATAATGACAACTAATAACAGCACTGCAACAGTCTATGATATATAGCCTATTCATCAGAAAATTTGAAGTCCTTGGGCTAATATTAGTTTTTTAGGAAACTGACTGAGAAGCATAAGATTACGTATTTCAAAAATCGCTTTTAATAAAAAAAATCTATCGGCCAACCTGTTGATTATCAGTTCATGAAATCACTTAAAGTCTCAGCAATGTAACTTTATGAAATGTTCATTTTATTTCAAGCAAACTGCGATGTCTGTAGGCTACAATGATATATTTGTTATTTTAACAGATTAGGGCCTAATTAAATATCTTCTGATGTAACACTGTAGCAACTTGTCACTTACCAGAGAGCAAAGCAATTCATTAGTATTATCACACAGTTAAAAGTATATTAAATCAACGTCACCCCTTGTCGCCGCAAGGAACAGCATTACGATTTACAGCAGGCATGGGATCGGGATAAAAAGACACAGCCTACCTGTACCATTGCAGTCCTCTCTCGTAAAACCTGTCAAAAAAGTGCGGCTCCGTACCGACAGCTCTAACATCAGGATGAATCCGAAGAAACTCAAGCAGCGCTCTCGTTCCCCCTTTCTTCACGCCAATGATAATCGCTTGTGGAAACTTTTTGGTGCCGAAGTTATTGAACACAGATATGCCGTCGACGCCGTCTTCCCGTGCCTTGACAGCATAGGGCATGGGTGGCAGCGCCTTCCCTCCCTCGTACGGTATGGTCCTCTTCTTCTCCTCTGGAAGTCCTGTAGAAGTTCGGTTCTGGTGACTCTGTGCGCTGGGCTGGTGCTGAGGTGAAGATGTAGGAGAGTCCAGTCTGTCCCGAAAGCTTCCCAGCGCATTGTGTTTGTTTGCGCTGGTTAAAGTTTGACGCTCGTTTACTAGCCTCGGTAGTGGGTCGCAGATTCCAGTGAGACAATAAAATAAATAAGTAAAAATAATGATCATGGTAAAGAAAAAAGACACTTTAGATTGCGCCTTCAAATGTCCGAAGTTGTGCCGAATTCTCCATATGCTACATCCCATGAGTCGTTATCCAGATCAATATGTCAGAGTCAGGAAGCGGAGCTTGCATGCCTTATTATCCCACTGTGACTCTTGCTCAAAAACATGTTTTGTGTAAATTAAATAACATGAGATTCGCACTCAGGATGTCGGGCGACATCAGCGTACAATATCCCAAATGTCGCCATGGCTTTAAAAAACATGGAATGCGTTTTTTATTTTTATTCTTCATATATTTAATTCTTTTAATATTTTCTTATAAAATGCGGCTAACTTAAGTGTCAACATCAATTTAGAAAAATTCGATATGCTTAACTGAAGGAAACCATTTAACCTTAATAACGACTGTTTAATGCCGTCGCGCTGTTCCGGGCTCCCCGCTGTTAATGCGCTCCGGCCTCCCGTAGGTATCTCTGGTTCTGTCTCGCTCGCTCTCTCTCTCTCTCTCTCGCAGTTCCGCTCCCGAGAACCAAGATTTTCATACTAACTCCTTCCTTCTGGGTCGTTGTCCACGCCCTATTTTTTTCCCCTAAACTCACCCATTTGGCTTTCCTGGAGTTACTGTAAAATGTTCGTGAACAGCTTATGAAGAAATATTTACCTTGCAAAAAATGTAGGCCTGCCTTTAGGTTCCAGTTTTCAGAAGAGAATTTTGCCTTTGCTTGTATTGGTTTAACATTTTAGTTCTACGTGTAAAACGCGAAATTGCAGCCAGGCATATGTTTGCAGAATAATCATTATGGTTAAAAATAAATTCTAATAAATATACGCGACTAGCACTTATCAAGGGCGATTACATAATAGTTGTCGATACACTTTCTGTTAAGGAAGTATATTGCAGAATTCTTGCTAATCCTGTATAAACTTGCATTTATAAACCTTTCTGGGTTTCAGATATGTTTCTTTAAACCGGTTTTATAAAGGAAGACATAGCATTAACCCGTTACATCCTGATGTAGTGAAGAATATACTTATTATTAAACAGCAAAAGCGAGTTATGTTAGATCTTTGAGTAGCCGGCCGTATTAAACTATATTTATGTACTTGTTCAGAATGTGCAGAATTACTTTCATGTGTTAAATTTATGGGCAAATGAATTACAACACATTCTGAGAATAGTGTATAGAATTTTCCATTTTTATATATTTTAGAATTTTTATTGTTTAAAGTTTGGAAAATGTAAATTAAATGGTACCATGTGTAATCAGTGTTTGAAAACAGGATAATTTATATCTGTTAAAATGCACAGTTAAAATACAGCTTTAAATGTAGCTAAAGAATTTGTTAATTATGCCTTTTCCACCAAACAACACTTGGTCTTTTCACACACGTGCATCTTCATGTCACGCAGCAGCGGGACATTTATACAAATGCTCACTGTTTCACACACGTTCGCGCCGCATTCAGCGCTAATGGACTGGTTCCGTTTCTCCATTGGTCACGGTGCACATTTATCCCGATTAATGCCTGTCCTGCAAACCCTCCTACCGCATGCTTGCTGTCGCCGTCGTGGCGCTTTCTTGCGTGCAGAGGAGAGCGGCCACCTGTGCATCAGCACATTAACCCTGCCCAGCAGAAAGTCTCCACACAGACCCTTTGCCCTTTACACTCTTCCACTAATGAGGTTGCACAGGTGCAGCCTTTACAAGTAGCAATACACTGGTGCTCTGCAGAAAATCAGGGTCCCTGTGCAGAAAGACAACTGCAAAATGGTGGGGACTTACGAGTATTTCCTCTAATTCCATCCTTTTTTTCTATGTGTCAATACAGTATAGATCATCCATCCATCCATCAATTCTCTAAACCTGCTTATCCTATGCACTGTCATGGGGTTACGGAGCTTATTTCAGAAGCTACAGGCACAAACACGAAATAAACCGAGACACAGAAACAGATATTGTGTTCATCATGGACACAAGGGTAGGACGACTTGACTATACTCAAATGCAATTTGATCAAAGGAAGCATTTTCACATTCAGAGGTCCTGTTCTCTGAGGATCATAAGTAAATCAAACACGCCTAGTGCACAAAACCAGACCGGAATCAGAGTCTTAATGAACCTGATTTTATGCCAAGGGCTCAAACATTGTCTAGTCTTATATATGGTTCAGCTGCATTAAGCCACAGCTGGGCCGGTTAAAAGAGCAGTTAATCCTTAGCTGCAAATGATCATGCAGTATGTGTGGAACATGCGGGCTTAGCCACGTTTGTATGTTCTGAAAGACTCGATGTGAGCTCAGAGTGAGATGTGTGTAACATCCAATATCCATGGAAGGATACAGTTATCTTAGTATGACTGCATACTAAAACATATTTATTTACATTTTTATTTGTATAAAAATGAAGAAAAATATCCATTGACAAGTTTGAGTAGGCTTATTCTCAATGCCAAACAACAAGAATTTACCTTCAGGTGGTAGGAGAACTTCATAAGTCAGTATCTGATCTGGATCTCATAATTTATTAAACAGCATCATTAATCAATTGTGTAAGTGAAATCCATTCACAGACGACTCAGTTTTTTTTAGGTGAACTTTCAAGGTGAACTTGTATGCACACTGTTTACAAAACTGCTTGATACTGACATACCGGACTCTTCATTCTACAGTTAAAGTCATGCAGAAAAAAAGTCCTTCTGAAAATAGCAACTCTATTTCATCCATTTTCTAGAATCCCATATGCAGCGCTGGGTTGCTGAATGATGTGGGCCTATCACAGGAAGTATAAGGTGCAAACCAGGGTACACCCTGGATGGGATGCCGGTCTATCATAGGACACACACTCATATCATCTAAGCCAGGGGTGGGCAATCTGATCCGCAAAGGGCCGCTGTGTATGCAGGTTTTTGGGGTAACCTTTAGATCAGCTGTTCAAACCCAGGTGTGAGGACTCTTCAGCCAATCAGTCCTCTAATCAGTAATCTAATTAGGGAGTTACAACGAAAACCCACATACACAGCGGCCCTTTCTGGATAAGATTGCCCGCCCCTGATCTAAGCATAATTTAAAGACATCTGTCAAGTTAACCAGCATGTTTCTCCACTGTTGGAGGAAACAGGAAACCACAGTACACTGGGGGACACACAACCCCCCCCAAACACACACACACACACACACACACACACACATACACACACATACAAGACAAGTAATCCTAACACAGCAACTCTATTGAAAACTGAAATACAGTACAGATAGATACTCAAACCAAAAGAATGCCACAACAAGAATTTTTCATAATTGATCACACAATGGTTACCAAAGGTTTAGGTCCAGTGTGGTTATGTTAAAGCCATGCAGAAATTCAGCAAGCAACTTAATTGAGCTCATGGGAAACCTTTTTCAGCCACGTGAAACCCTCCTCATAGGCAAGAGGTCCTGATATGCTAATTCTCCCATTTACCTTAAACAGATGCTATGATATCAAGGACATCTGTCAGAAGATTAGATTCATTCTTCATATGAAACAGACAAAGAAATGTTTTATGAACCATGGAATATTTTTCTCAGATGAGAGGCAGCTTTAAAAATAGATGAGATGTAATTTTGATATTAACAGACCCCGATTTAACAGACCAATTAAGGTATTGGTGACACATTCAGCGCTTTTCCCATATGAATGAGCACATCTGTAGTTCTTACTATTAACACAGTGGATTGAGGCTTCAATGACACAAAAGGCAGCTTTTAGGCTTTCAGAGAATTAGGTAATAGGAAGACTCACCCACACTGACAGATCACAGCAGAGACTGCAACACGTTATGGTATGGTACGGTATGGTATGGTACGGTATGGTACGGTACAGTATGGTATGGTATGGTATGGTAGGGCATGGTATGGTACAGTATGGTATGGTATGGTATGGTACGATACGGTACAGTATGGTATGGTATGGTAGGGCATGGTATGGTACAGTATGGTATGGTATGGTATGGTACGATACGGTACAGTATG